ACACAGAAGAGAAGAGCAGAACGAGTTAATACTCGTAAGTAAATATCGAGAAAATCAACAACACAAAAAAGGAAAACTACCAGCAAAAAGCAATGAAATCGTTTTAACCAAAATATTTGTCGTTCTTTATCAGGCCAGGCATTGTGTCCTTTGTGAGTGTTACGCACTCCGTCGCAACCATGCGAGGACGACATTTCGGGCGATACAATTTGACTGACCTCAGCTAAAAAGTGGTAAACGCTTAACTGCTATTCAATACACCATTTTGGCCTTATTTATATTTTCATATTCCACATCCGTTTTGTGTTATCTCTGAGCCCGACCCACACCCACTCTCCATGTCGTGTTCCGCTGCCTCAGTTGTTGCTCCGCAAATTTTATCAATGATTCAGGACCCGAACGCATGGCTTCAGTTAAGAGTTTATAAAGCAGTTTTGAATGTTTTGACAAATGATTTTGTTTATATTTTCCATTTTGTTAAATTTGGTAATGGCGACAGTTTCATTTTGGTTTAGCATTCGATACAAACATTTTTTCCACTTCTTACAGTGCTTAGTCCTGGCAGACAACAATGGGTTTAGTATCTGTTGTTGTTTTCAGCAATTTCGATTTTTACAGTCATTTTCATTGCCTTTACCCAAATATCATGACACATCTAGTGCTACAGTTTTTTACTTTCAATTTTTATTTTTATCTACTACGAGTATTTTACTTTTATATAAGTTTTGTATAAATGTCGGTCATTAGGATTCTGTAATGTTGTCGACTTTTTGTATTTACTCCTCTTTGCATCATCGCATAAAAAAAAATCTCACAAAATTTGTGTAATAAATTATGCCATCAACAAAAGGGTGTGAAGTTTCCAAAAGTTTTAAATCATTCTCTCACAAAAAAATTAAATAAATAAACAAATAAGAAAATAAATATAATTATCTGAAAAAAAATCGCATTCAATTAGAGATTCAGAATTGAATCCTGTAAAATTAATTTATTTTTATTAGTCTAGAATTTTTTTTCAAATCAGTTGGTGATTTTATTATAAACTGTCTGACTATAAATATTCAGGTTTAGTCATGTCCAGTGTTAAGTTTTTGATGCTCTATTCTTTCATCCATTCAACGATATTTCTAACGTTAGAACTGACCAGATACTTCACTTTATTAATATGCTCTGCTAGTTCTAATATGATCATCATTTTACTCATAATTACGAAGAATATGGAATCAAAACATTTTTCTTAAAGTAAAGACGTATCGATATTCCTTCCACTACACGTATCTACCTTAGAAGTATATATTATATATCTAAATGGGCTTGGTTTCCATGATATTTATATTATCAAAACGGATTCATTGACTTCGTCTTCAATAACTGGTATAAATATCACACAATATTTAGAATATCTAAAGGGAATCAGTGACTAATTTTAATTAGTGAATTGATGGATATAACGCAAAGTGTTATATTAAGTGTTGTTAATATTAATTAAGTTAATTATTTATTTATTTCTGTTTAAACCAGTGCACTTGAGCACATTTACTCTTTCTTAACTCGAGATATTTTTAAAACCCCTCTTTACGCCTTGACTGGATTATTATTTATCACTTCATCAGGCTAAGCAATAATTGACTTTAGATCTGCATATTAGTATAAAGTAAAACGCTTATATTTTTTTTACTATTTTATATAATGTGTTAAATTATTAAAGATTAAAGTATATTTGTAAACGAATATGAATATCGCGAATTACAGCGTTCGATCTCTTGTTATGTTGCGAATTACCCGACGACTACTTTTCCGTTGGTCTCGTTGGTGTCCCGCGACAGGATGATCTTTATTCACAATAGTAATAAAGGTTCTGATATATCAGTCCAAGACGCAGTTAAAAGTTCGACTTTGTAGTGAGTTTTCTGACGTTCACACTAACGTATTTTTCATTTGTTGGTAGTATTAACTTATTAATAGTTATTTTGATTGCTTAGTACATTAATCAAACTCTAAAAGAGGTTTTGACATGGATATTATCACCTCCCAACAATGGCATATATTAATATGAATATTTCAATAGCCAGTTTATTAAAATTGAATTATAAAAATACACACTCAAGCGATTTCTCAGTAATAAGTAAAGTCCATCCGTAAAGTCCACAATCAGGCAAGTACTCAACATAAGTAACATTTTCAATAAAATTAGGTCAAGGACATTCAAGTATTTGTCCCCAAGAAAAAATTTGCGCATTTAGCGGTTTTATTCCTGTAGAAATAGAGAAATAAATTGGAAGAAGTAGTATTACTAGAGGATGTAAGTAATCTCCTATTTATGTTTCTTATAAACTTGACTTTAAATATTTAAACCATACAAGTCAACATTTCAAATCATAGCAATAAGTTTGGAAACTCTAAACTGGAAAATTAAACAAAAGTAATTCTGAAAGATTACAAAAACTTTGAACTAAAATCCCCAAATGCTCCAATTTTTAAAATGCAATGCATGAAATACATTTAGCGATGACCATAAGATCATATTACCTTCGCAGCGTCATCAATATTACATTGATTTTTATGGTGCAAATTTTGAATTACCAAATATTGATACACTATATAAAATCACAATGATTCAGAGAGACCCGAATTCAGCAGATATCCCAAAAAAATAATGTTTTGAAATATAGAATATAATAGAACTTCTGTCAGTTCAAAAGTCTAGAGTAACTAAAAACACTCGACACCTGTTTTAATTATTGTCGTCGTGTCTAGAATCTATTTTACCTTAATGGAGTGAGTAAGGACACATTGGCGGACAATACACTGAGCTAAAATTCTGCATGAGCACCCTGTATAACTCCAAGGTACTGCAGAGCACTCAAAGACTGTGTGAGCGGGAAAGACGTAAAAAAACAGCCGGGCATCAGCACCGTCGCGTCATGTTCATGCGCCCATGCCGTCAAAAGATCGTCTTTCCCGTTCCCTGAAGGCCCCACACCGCATATACTATGACGCACAACCGGGCCATTGACTGCGGCAAGCCATGCCCGTTGCCGCCCACATTCGACGGGACCATTGATGAAACGATCGGACGTCATCGCCGTCACCCGGCGCAGGGGAAACGCCATCTGGGTGGCCGCGGGTCTTCCGGACACCCCGCCCACATCCCGTTTCGTCATCGCAGCCCCCTTTTTCATGCCGTAACACCATCAAACAGGCGTTCCGCCAGCGCGCAGGATGCTCTAGAACGGCGTCACGTCAACAAGCGGGAACCTTTCGACCAACCGATCAGCCTGATATCGCCCCCGGATCGAGCCACAGCACGACTGGCGGCGCAAGCTACGCACAGGCCGGCGTGGATATTGCCGCTGGCGACGCACTGGTCGACGCCATCAAGCCCGCAGCCAAAGCCACGAACCGTCCCGGCACAATGGGCGGCCTCGGCGGCTTCGGCGCGCTTTTCGATCTGAAGGCCGCAGGCTTCACCGATCCCGTCCTCGTCAGCTGCACCGATGGCGTCGGCACGAAACTGATGGTCGCCATCGAGGCCGGAAAGCATGATGATGTCGGGATCGACCTCGTCGCCATGTGCGTCAACGACCTCGTCGTACAAGGCGCCACCCCGCTGTTCTTCCTGGACTATCTCGCCACCGGAAAACTCTCCGTCGAAGCCGCAGCCACGGTCGTGAAGGGCATCGCCAAGGGCTGCGCCGAGTCCGGCTGCGCTCTCGTCGGCGGCGAAACGGCTGAAATGCCCGGCATGTACGCTCCCGGCCATTACGATCTCGCAGGCTTCAGCGTGGGTGCTGCCGAGCGTAACAGCCTGCTTCCCGCCAATATCGCCGAAGGCGACACGCTGATCGGCCTGCCCTCTTCCGGCGTTCATTCCAACGGCTTCTCTCTGGTGCGCGAAGTCGTGCGTCGCTCTGGCCTCGGCTGGAACGACCCGGCCCCCTTCGCTGAAGGTCACACGCTGGCCGAAGCCTTGTTGACGCCCACGAAGCTCTACGTCCGCACGGTTCTGGACCTGCACGCCAAGGGCTTGCTGAACGGCTGCGCCCACATCACCGGCGGCGGCCTGCCGGGCAACCTGCCACGCGTCCTGCCCGAAGGCCTTGGCGTCCGCATCGACGGCTCCGCATGGGTCGTGCCGTCCGTTTTCCGTTGGCTGGCCAAAACCGGCAATGTGGCGGCTGACGAAATGCTCCGCGTCTTCAACTGCGGCATCGGCATGGTGCTTGTCACATCCGAGCCGGAAAAGGTGATGGCGGAACTGGATGCGCGCGGCGAAACCGGTTTCCTCATGGGCCAGATCGTCCGCTCCGACGACGCCTACACCCTGACCGCACCGGTTTCCTTCGCATGAAGAAGCCGCCCGTCAGAAACAGAGCCAAAGCCCAGCCTAAAAACGCGCCAAAAAAAATCCAGAAGGTGCCTGTCGCGATCCTCATCAGCGGTCGCGGCAGCAACATGCGCGCCCTGATCGAAGCCTGTGCCCGACCGGACTACCCCGCCGAAATCGTGCTGGTCCTCAGCAACCGCCCGGATGCGCCGGGCCTTGAGGTCGCCGAAGACGCGGGCCTGAAAACCCTCGTCATCGACCACAAGCCTTTCGGTACGGACCGCGAAGCCCACGAACGCGAAATAGACGCAGCCCTTCAGGCCTCCGGCGCCATGCTGGTCGTCCTCGCGGGCTATATGCGTGTCCTGACACCATGGCTGGTCAATGCTTGGGAAGACAGGATGCTCAACATCCACCCGAGCCTCCTGCCCGCCTTCCCCGGCCTGCACACCCACGAAGCCGCCCTCAAGGCTGGCGCAAAAGAACATGGCTGCACCGTCCACCTCGTCACATCCGGTGTGGATGAAGGCCCTATCCTCGGACAGGCCAGCGTTCCCGTCCTTGAAACTGATACGCCGGAAACCCTTGCCGCCCGCGTGCTGGAACAGGAACACCTGCTCTACCCGGACGTACTCGAAATGATCTGCGACGTTTTTGCGAAGTAAGAGACGTCCAGCGTCTCCAAACAAAAAAGGCGCGGACCGAAGTCCGCGCCTTTTTTTGTTGAGAACAGATTACCTATCGTAAAAATTACGGCAGGATTTCCGTCTCGGCGAAGAAGAAGGAGATTTCGTTCTTCGCGTTCTCAAGGCTGTCGGAGCCGTGCACGGAGTTGGCTTCGATGCTCTCGGCGAACAGCTTGCGAACGGTGCCTTCAGCAGCATCGGCCGGGTTGGTGGCGCCCATGACTTCGCGGTTCTTGGCGACAGCGCCTTCACCCTGCAGAACCTGCACGACAACCGGCTCGGCAATCATGGAGGACACGAGGCTGCCGTAGAACGGACGCTCCTTGTGAACTGCGTAGAAAGCGCCAGCCTGCTTCTCGGTCAGGTGGATGCGCTTCTGGGCGACGATACGCAGGCCGGCGTCTTCGAACACGGCATTGATCTTGCCGGTCAGGTTACGCTTGGTGGCGTCGGGCTTGATGATGGAAAGCGTGCGCTCAAGAGCCATCTTTCTTCTCCTGTTAGGACCGGTCCTCGCTGGACCAGCGGGTCAATACCGCCGTTCCACTAGAGCAAATTCATCGTTCCTGATAGGTCTGTCGCAGTATTTTAACCGACCTGTTTCTTTTCTTCCGACTGATCGAGGCGCCCGTGAGCCTGCTCACCATCACCGACCTGTCCCTCCGCATCGCGGGCCGCTCCCTGCTGGACAATGCGTCCCTCAGTGTGGACCCAGGACGCAAGATCGGCCTGATCGGCAGGAACGGCGCCGGAAAATCCACCCTTCTGGCCGCGATTGCTGGTGATTTCGCGCCTGACGGCGGCACAATCACCCTCGCCGCCCGCGCCACGATGGGCCGCGTCAAACAGGAAACACCCTCCGGCAGTACGTCCATTCTCGATACAGTTCTGGAAGGCGACCTTGAACGCACCCGACTGCTCGCGGAAGCCGAAACCGCGACCGATCCTGTCCGCATCGCAGATGTCCATGAACGCCTCATCGCCATCGACGCCTACACGGCTCCCGCCCGCGCCGGGGCCATCCTGTCTGGTCTCGGCTTCGATCAGGACGCGCAGAATCGAGCGGTTTCGGACTTCTCGGGCGGCTGGCGAATGCGCGTATCACTCGCCACGGCCCTGTTCCTGAACCCTGACCTGCTGCTGCTCGACGAACCGACGAACCATCTCGATATCGAAGCCACGCTCTGGCTGGAATCCTGGCTCGCGAAGTTTTCCGGGGCCGCGATCATCGTCAGCCATGACCGCTCCTTGCTGGACAACACCGTCGATGCCATCGCCCATAGTAGCTCGGATCACCACGAGAAATCAGTCGGTTAAGGGTAGATGTTTACCATCGAACGGTAAGACCGCTCCGGTGGCTACGACAATTTCGTCGCATCCGCACGGACAGGCGCTCCAGCAGAACGCGCTGCGAGCGCATGGGCCCAGCGCGCGCCTATACATACTTCTGGACCGTTTCGGCCACAGGAGCCACCCAAGAGGCCAACAGGACGCAGTGTAAGGCCCGGCCGCCTGAAAGCCCTTGAAAGCGCACCCCCAAATTCGGAGCCGTCGTGAAGACCCTACCGCACTCTCGCTTCTCTTTCCCCGATAACGCAATGCCTTTGCCTAGCCCCGAATGCTGAAGCCTGAAAAGGCTGTCACGTCTAGGTACTTGACGGGCGCATCGAGTACCTTTAAAGAGAACTGAACTGCAAGGCTGGCCGTAATATGGCAAGAGCCGGATCGCCCTGCTTGGTCAGAAACGCCGCGCAAATCACACTTTCGCCAGCTGCTCGCCACGGCTACGGCTGAGGACACCATGGTCGGCACATACCCAGAATTCGCCAAGCTTGAAAATCAGGCTATTTCGCCCAGCACCAAGGACGATGTCTGACGTGGAAACGGCCCATCGACCAAGAGGCCGCGTGCTGCGGACGGACAGTCCCCCGCCGCCGTCGACGCCCAGCTGCCGGTTCGGGCTTGGTGAAACCGCGCCGAAACAAAGGTTGGTGAACTCTCCGGCGGTGAAAAGGCGCGTCTGCTCCTCGCCCTCTCCACCCGCGAAGCCCCGCATCTGCTGATCCTCGACGAACCGACCAACCATCTGGATCTCGATGCCCGTGACGCTTTGATCCGCGCGCTTTCGGCTTTCGAAGGCGCGGTCGTCCTCATCAGCCATGACAGCCATCTCGTGGAATCCGTCGCCGACCGTTTCTGGCTGGTCGAGGACGGCACGATCTCGCCGTTTGATGGCGACATGGCCGAATATCGCGCCTGGCTGCTCGAACGTGCCCGCAAAGCCCGTGCCGAGATGGCGGAGCGGAGCAAGGCCGCCACGGCGTCAGCAGATGGCGGCACAGCGTCTGCCCAGAAACGCATCGACCGCAAGGAACAGACCCGCGCCCTCGCGCCGCTGCGGCGGAAAATCCGCGATGCCGAAGCCAAAATGACCCAGCTTTCCGGCGAAAAGAAAAAGATCGAGGCCCGGCTGGCCGATCCTGCTCTCTACCAGTCCGGCGATGCCGGGGAACTGACGTCCCTGAACGTGCATCTTGCCGCGCTCAACGCCACGCTCGAAACCGTCGAGGAAAGCTGGCTTGAAGCACAGGCCGAACTGGCAGACGCGACGGCCTGAGCCGGACCCATTGACCCTCCTTCCTTCGCCCCATAAGCCAGTTGCCAACGACTGAGCCTCAGGACTGACACCTCCATGCGCATCTCTTTTTCCGATCCGGCAGAACGCAGCGAAACGGAACCCCGTGCGCGGGAACTGTCCAAAATTGCCGGGCTGATGCGGATCACGCTGGCTCTGACCCTGATGCTGCTCGCCATCTGGCTGATCGGCGATGTTCTGGCCGTGATCTTCGCCTCCGCTCTCGTAGCCGTCGTCCTGCACGGACTGGCCCGTATGCTCCGGCGTCACGTTCGCGTCATTCCCTATCAGGGTGCGGTCGCTCTCGTGACCGTTGTGATCCTCGTCGCCATGATCGGCCTTGGCTGGAGCAGCGGCCCCTCCATCAGCGACCAGTTCATCCGCCTCAAACAGGCACTGATCACTCAATCCGGCGAACTGCGCGCCCATCTTTCCGGCTCCACGATCGGCCAGATGGTTCTCGATCACCTGCCCTCGTCCCTCGGCGGAAACGCCCCAGGAACAGGAGGCCTCGGCTCTCTGGGATCAGGACTTGCGGGCTCGGTCACAGGGCTTCTCAGCAGTGTTTTCGGTATCATCGGAACGCTTCTGGTCGTTCTGATCGCCGGTCTGTATTTCGCCCTCAGCCCGGCCGTCTATATCGACGGGATGATCCGCCTCGTTCCCACGCAGCACCGTCCCGCCGCGCGTGAACTGATGCTGACTGCCGGGTCCACGCTTTGGGCCTGGACTGCCGGGCAGGCACTGGACATGCTCGTGGTCGGCATTCTCTCTGGCGTGGGCCTGTCGCTGATTGGCGTACCGCTTGCACTGGCGCTCATTCCATACCCTATATCGCGCATTCCCGTGCCGTTGCCACCCCGTCCTGCGGGCTTCGCTCGCACGCAAGAGCGTTGTTCGTCCGCTCATTACTCTACTGCTGATAACAGTTTTTCGAAGCAATTCCTGCCCGCTGATCCCAGCGCCGCCCGTGCAGCCCCCTGCGCCATGGCGACCTATCGACAGACGTTTTGGCTCCATTCTGGTGCCCCCGGCCTGACCTCGCTCCCCATCACCGCCGCCTCTGGCGATGGGCGACAAGGCCACAGCCCCGCTGGAGGACGAAAACCAGACCCGCCGTGATGTCGGCGAAGTTACGGAAGAAGAAGAGAAACAGCAGAAATAAGCCTCGTCCTTTCCGCGACAGCATAAAAAAAACCGGCCTCCTTCGGGAGCGCCGGTTTTTTTGTGCTCTCAACACGCTCCAGAAAGTCCTTACTTTCCGGGCTGCGCTCCAGCAGGCTGCAAGGCCATGAGCTGTGCGTCGGGAAAAGCGTTCATCCGGTACGGGCCATTCTTCGCAAGCTGGATCCCAACGATATCGTCCTGCTTTGTATTCCATATGCAATAATAACCGGCTCGCCCTGTGCGCCCGCCATTTCGAGAACGACTTTCGGTGCAAGATCGGTTTTCTCGCCCGACGGCCCCCAGGCCGTTTCATGCGATTGAAGCCACAGATTGACCTTCTGAACCTCATCTGCCGACAGATCGCGACTGATCGGCGCACTCATCTGCCCCGCAGTCACCTGCGGAAATTTCCATGCATGCAGCAGCGGCCATGTCACAAACCAGATGATGCCTACGGGAATGAGGACCAGCGCCCCGAAAACCAGAAGAAGTTTCTGCTCACGTCTCACGCCTGTTCTCCTGCCCACCGATTGAGGGCTGCAATGATGTGATGGACGTCCTCGTCCGTCAGTTCGGGATGGATGGGAAGTGCCAGCACCCGCGCACCAAGCCCTTCTGCGACTGGCAGACAGACTCCGTCATGATGCGGCGCATAGGCGGGCTGATGATGCAGCGGTTTTGGATAGTAAACGGCGGTTGGAACGCCTGCATCCTTCAAAAACGTCTGAAGCGAATTCCGCTTTTCCGCATCCGGCAGCAGGATCGTATAGATCGCCCACGCGCTCTCGCTATCCGAAACGCGTACAGGCGGTACGATCCCCGCAGGCATCCCGGCATCATAGGCCGTCGCAATTGCATCCCGGCGCTTCAGTTCTGCGTCAAACACATCGAGCTTTGCCAGAAGCACAGCCGCCTG